CATCTCGGTGGTGATGTGCCGAGGTATGAACTTGTTTGCTGAGCTGCTGTCTGTGTGACTATAGAGGTAGCCCATCGGTGAAGGAAGGTACGCCGATCCTTCCATAGTTTATGTGACCTGAGGCCTGTCTATGTAACCTGAGGCCTGTTATTATGTCTGTGTGACATGGGAGATGTGAGTCCTAAGTCTGTGTGACTGGGAAGTTGGCCTTGTGTGATGGACGGGTTGGAGACATCACAATTGCGTGTTAGTTGTTCGTGCATCACTAGAGTGCTTGTTTGTTGCTTGTTAGATTTACTAGGTGAATACCCGCACGTAACATGTGGGTTTTTCTTTTCAATTTTTTTGAATTTTTTTATTATTTTATAAAAATTAATATAATCATCACTTTTTACTTACTTACTTGTTAATATTTTATTCTAAAAAATTTTAAAATATTAATTTAAATGCATATTGAATATTATTTAATAATTTAAAGTTATATTCAAATTAATATCAATTTTTTAATTAGTTATAACATAAATTTTTGTTTAACATTTACATAAATATTAATTAAGTCAATTAATAAAAAAATTAAAATTAATATAATCATCATTTCATTTGTTACTTGTTAATATTTTATTATAAATAATCTTAAAAAAATAATTTAAAATATATCTTGAGTATTATTAAGTAATCTACAGCTATATAAAAATTAAATACATATCTATCAATATTTTTAATTAGTTATGACATAAATTTTTGTTTAACATTAATATAAATGTTAGTTAAGAGTCAATTAATAAAATAAAATTTTTATATTTTTTAAATATTTTAAAATTTAATATTAAAATTTATTAATTAAAATTTAAGTGACAAGTGTCTCCAATGCTGATGTGTCAAGCATATGAAGAAAGTTGAGCAACTTTTATATATAAGATACTTGACATGTTGTTGGAAAAAATATGAGTGGGAAGGAAGCCTGGTTTGATTCTCACTGAGTAATTCCCCAAATTAGTCACTTCTCTCTTTTAAATCCGTATTGTAGGTGAGTGTGATAATTGTGACTATGATGATGTCTGGGAGGAACTAGACGAGTACCTCTAGTGTGGTGTGCCTTCAGAGATGGAAGAAGATTTTTATTGCTTTAAGAATTATTTCGTATTTTTTTAAAAAACATTATTTTCTATTAATTTTCGGATTATTTAAGTTATTTCATTTCTATTATAAGACTTGGAATTGGTTTGGTTTGGAATAAGATTTAAGAGTTATTCAAGAAATATTGGTTTAAGTTAAGATAATACCGCCAGTTTAGTCTAGTTCTTTTTGGAACCCAGGATCGGGGTGTTACAATTGGAATCAAAGACTAGGTTTGAGTTAGGAATAGAGAGAGTGTTAAGTCTAGAGTAGTGGGATTGGGAATAAATTTTTTTTTTTTAAGTTTTCAAAAGTTTTCAAATATTTCCGAGTTTTCAAAAAAAAAAAAATTACCACCTAGATTAGCCTCTCTAATTATTGTTTTTAATTTTTATCTGCAGGAAGTTCAGTCTTTACGGGACCAGACTGACTTAACTGTTTTCTCGTGTAGTGCAATGTAGCTGCCTCCGAAAGCCAGGAATGTGCGCACCAGATCCCAAGCTCGTCATTCAAGTGGGGATGAGGAGACCACTGACACGACAGGAAGTGTGAACCGAGTTCAAGTAGATCAGCAGGCTGAGAATCCTGCGGGAGATGTGCCTGTTCAAGTGCCTGCAGCAGCAGAAGCAGCTCATGCTGCAGTCTTGGAGGATCTGCGCTGTTATCGGGAGATGTATGACCACTTGAACTAGGGAGTGGTTGTGAATGCTCAGCACAGCAGCAGCCGCAGCATCAGCAGCATGTGCCTCTGCCGCCAGTGCATGAACTGCTGCCTGTGGTTGTGCCGCCAGTGTTTGTTCAGCCTCAGAATGTGCAGCCGCCAGCGTTCTTTCAGCAGCAGTATGTGCCTCCGCCTCCGCCTCCTGCGCCTGCTAATGTGTTTGGGCTGACATATTATGAGGCCATGAGACACTTGAAGGATATGGGAATGGAAACATTCGGCGGGAGGTCTGACCTAGTGTCTGCAGATAACTGGAGGAAGAAGTTGGAGAGAAATTTTGTTGCCATGAGATGTCTGGATGGTTACCGGAAGGACTTAGCCGTTCAGTACTTAAAGGAAGAGACACTGATATGGTGGGAAGGTGTGGTGGAAACAACTCAGGGTCGCTATGATTTGACTTACAATGATTTCAAAGAAGCATTTGCTGGAGAGTATTTTCCGCCCGAAGCTTTGGACCAGATGGAGAGTGCCTTTGAAGACCTGCGTCACGAAAACGGCACTGTGAGAGAGTACAAGGAGGAGTTCAACAGGTTGAGGAGATTCTCCAAGAAGCACTTCATGCAGGCTGACTTGGTCCACCAATTCATGAAGAATTTGAGGTTGGAGTTGAGGAGCAGATGTTCTGTGAGGAGGTACCCCACATTAGTGGAACTTGTGGAGACAACTGCCATTCAGGAAGCCAATCTGGAGGAGCTGAGGAGGACCAGGCAGGGTCAAGGCCGAGCATCCCGTGCTCAGGAGGCACCAAAGAGGACTTGGGATGATATGGCAGCAGGGAGAGCCAACGAGAATGATCTGGGGTGCCTGCATTGCAGGAAGAGGCACGCCGGACAGTGTGGAGTGATTAAGTGCCATGGATGTGGAGGAGTGTTTCATCATGGAAATTGCCCAAGTGCTGCAGGGCTTGGCAAGTCGCTGCAGGAGGTTAGGTCATTTCAAGAAGGATTGTAGGAAGGGGGAGCAGCGCCAGGAGCACCACCAGCTAAGAGACAGGCTGTTGGACCTCGTGTCTTCGCCATTAGAGATCCTGAGGGAGCCGCACCGATCGCTGGTAAGTAAATGCTTAAGTGATTATATATGTTGCTTGTGAATAGGAATGTAGAATGGAAATGCATAACTAGACATACATATGAATCATGTAGGATCAGTCTCAGTTGGGGGCGCGATTGCATATACCTTGTTCGACACGGGTGCCACTCATAGCTTCGTGAGCCCGAGGTTGACTAAGTGTTGAACCTTTTATGGGAAGTTCATTCCAAAGTCTAAGGCAGTGGAGACTGCCGGAAATAAACAAGTAAGGACCATTGGGGTACATGTAGATGTACCAATTGTATTGGAAGGTGCAGGATTTCCATGGACCCTAGTGGAAATGGAGTTGAGCCTCTATGATGTTATCCTTGGGATGGATTGGCTGAAGCACTATGAAGTCGTCCTGAATTCTCGGAAGTCGAGAGCTTATCTCCCACAGCTAGGAGGGAAGTTAGTTTTTCAAGGAGTGTAAACTAATACAGGAGTGCCAATCATCTTGATGATTCATGCAGAGAATCTTATGGAGGAAGGATGTGAGGCATTCTTAGCGACGATCTCTATGGATGGAGAGGGAGCAAACAAAAGTCTTGAGGAGATACCAGTGGCAAATGAATACGTGGACGTATTTGAGCCATTGATTGGACCACCACCAAGAAAGGAAAGTGGACTTCACTATCGAAGTAGAACCAGGGACAGCCCCTGTTTCGAAAGTTCCATATCGGTTGGCACCAGCAGAGATGGCTGAGCTAAAGAAGCAGTTGGAGGACTTGACGGATAAAGGATTTATTCGGCCAAGCAGCTCGCCATAGGGAGCACTAATGTTATTTGTAAAGAAGAAATATGGGAGCTTTCGACTTTGTATCGACTACAGAGGGTTGAATAAGGTGACCATCAAGAACAAATATTCTTTGCCGAGAATTGATGAGCTATTGGACCAGTTAGAAGGAGCTTCATGGTTCTCCAAGATTGATTTAGCATCTAGCTAAACCCTAAACCCAAATTTATCCCCATATATAAATGAGGAATTAAATGAGAATGAACCTCATTTTCATTCTGATTACTCTAGCCACCTAAGCAAAAGGAAAGAGAGAGAGATAGAGAGGGAAGCTTGCCGCCGCTGTCGCCTGAGCTCGCCGCCGCTTCCTGCTGAGAGAAGAAAGACTGTTCGCCAGCCTCCTCCTTTGCAGAAACTCCTTGATACCTTTGCCACCAGTTCTCCGTAAGTCAGATCTGCTTTTAGGTCAAGGTGAGGATTAGATCTAGGGTCTCCTTCTTATTCATTTGTCTTCTTCTTCTGGTGTGTGGGGTCTAGATCTGATGAGCCTAGGATGTTTCCTTGTGCATCTATCTAGATCCATGTATAAAATAAAATAAAATAAATTAGGATCTCATTAGAGGAAAAACCAGCATGTCTGTCTGATAACCCTAATATGTGGTTAGTGATTGGTAGCATAGCTAGATCAGGTGTCCATCTCAGTGGTGATGTGCCGAGGTATGGACTTGTTTGCTGAACTATTGCTGTCTGTGTGACAATAGCGGTAGCCCAACAGTGAAGGAAGGTACGCCAATCCTTCCATAGTTTGTGTGACCTAAGGTCTATCTGTGTGACCTGAGGCCTATTATTATGTCTGTGTGACATGGGAGATGTGAGTCCTAAGTCTGTGTGACTGGGAAGTTGGCCTTGTGTGATGGGCGGGTTAGAGACATTACAATTGTGTGTTAGTTGTTTGTGTATTACTAGGGTGCTTGTTTATTGCTTGTTGGATTTATACTTGACATGTTGGTGAAAAATAAATGATTGGGAAAAAAGTCTGGTTTGTTTTTCACTGAGTAATTTCCTAAATTACTCATCTCTCTCTTTTAAATTCATATTGCAGGTGAGTGTGATGAATGTAAGTGTGATGTTGTTTGGGAGAAACTAGACGAGTAGCTCTAGTGTGATATGTCTTTAGAGATGGAGGAAGATTTTTATTGCTTTAAGAATTATTTCAGATTTTCTTTTAAAACATTGTTTTTTATTTGTTTTTGGATTTTTTAAGTTATTTTATTTTTATTGTAAGACTTAGAATTAGTTTGGTTTAGAATAAAATTTAAGAGTTATTCAAGAAATATTGGTTTAGATTTATATAATACCGGTAGTTTAGTCTAATTCCTTTTGAAACCCAGGATCCGGGTGTTAAGTGTGAGTGACATATACATTGATGAGATGTGACAATGTTGATGCTCTAAGCATGTTGTAAGCGGATAGTGACCTCACTGCAAGATTTTGTGTTGACATTGGTAAGCCGAAAAGGGACATGACCCATTTAATTATGTATGATGAGCCTGTTACCATTTCCCCGGAAATAAAGATCTAAACTTCCCAAATAATTTAGATTTTATTAGCTATAGGGAGTGTTAGTAGTATCACAACACTGCGTCTTGCACATGTTTTACCTTAAAAATCTTGGTTTGTAGTTCATGTGTGTTGAGGTTTGCCTTCTTCTATAAGAAGATGGACCATAGATTTGACGACTTCGTTGTGGACTATACCTGATTTCTGCAACAAACGTGAAGAGAAAGAGGAGAGATTAGGCATGATCTTACTTACTTCACTGAGTAGATCAAACGAAGGATTGAACATGTAACCTGGGGTTTCCGGATAAGATCTTTGAAAATAGAATGAAGGGTTAACCGAAGCTCTTTGAACAAAACCGCAGTTTGTGCCGGTGCTGCTAGCTTCAACCACCCATCAATGGTGACTGTTCCACTCTGTAAGGCAGATAAATTAAGTATTATCCAACACGCAATCGTTTTCTAAAGACATGTAACTCTTAAAAGAGCCAAAGAGTCTTAGAAGCTAGTGTAGGACATTAGGACCCCAGATCTCTGTGTCATCAATGGCCACGTTTTCAATTCATTGTTTGAAAAATAAGAATCAGAATAACATGATATGGCTAACAGTACCTGATGATGAACATTGATCGAGCCGCCAAAAAGTAGAATGGAGAAAGGAGAAACAACGGTTGTATCACGCAGATATACTTTGTGCGTTTCAACCTACAAGAAATAGTAATTACCCATATGATTAGATGGTTACAAATTTACACCAGAATCTGCCTAGTAACATCAAACTGAATAACAAGTCACCATGTTTGTCCAATATCATCAAATGATATAATTCGAAGCCAAGTATGAAATTCCAGAGGCATACAAATCAGAGGGATAAAAGTAAAATCAAATGCTTCACATATTACCTTCTCAAGAAATACAAGGAAAGGGTATTGAAAGGCTTTGAAGTTGCTGTTTATAGAAGACGGATGGATATGGACTTCCCTTCTGCCATCGTACCACGCTGAATAACTCTTTGTTTGGTTTCCTTGCTTTGTTAAACTGTTAACCGCTGCCTCTGTAATTCCCTTATCATTGGCTGCAATATTAGGATATAGCCCCGCGCATAGTATAGCCTATACATATTTGACAGCTGAATTCAGGTACACACCAAATAGATAATCACGTAGAACCTCTTTTTCAACAACAAATGAGCAAATATCTGAGCTGCAGAGCACCGGATGTACTTTACCTTAACGACTTCAGGTTGTTGTGAATACATATTGAAAGGTTGAGTTTGGTCAGAAAACCAGACATCAAGATTCTCTTTTTTTCTCCCCGAAAACTATGATAAGAAACGAAGCGATTCTTGATCAAATTTAATTATATTCGGCTTTCTTTCTGCTAAGTTTACAAATATGATGAACCTTATTGAGTTGTAACATAAAACTTGAGAACAATCATTTCAATGTTTTGGTGCATAATGGATCTTCCATGTAAGATCAGACACATGTGTGCTTATGCATAGGTACCAAATGTTTCAAATGGGTAGATAAGTTACCTCTCCTGTTTTAGGAATATTGATGAGCCCGATGTCGGCAAGTAATGTACCAAACTGTACTCTCATGTCTCTGAGATTTTTGAGAAAGCAACAAATAAGATTTGATGGATCAAGACAGATAATGTGAGAGCATTCTTTAAGTCTAGAACGATTTTCAGAGACTCTTGGATATATCAAAAGTTTCCTACTAATACATAGGTTTAAGTTACTATTATTTCCGTACTTAAGGCATCAACACAGTATTCCCATACTTTTACATCCTTAGTCAAGCTTGCAACTTGCAAGGCAGCAGAAAACATCTTAAAGCATGTTTAGATAATCATTATTTGTTTAGCTTTCTTAAATTTTCCATAAACTGAAGGTTATTCCTTGTAACAAGAATACAAAGGAGAAAAAGCATAGAAAGGAAGTAACAATATATATAAAAATGTCATTTTTTCTACTAAGGAGATCTTTTGTAGAAAAGTTATAGCATCGGAATACAATGTACCTTATCATCCGCATCACTGAGCTGCTTAAGAACTTTGATTCACAGAACCTCTGTGCGGCTTTCATTCCTCTCTGAAGACATCAAATTCATATAGACCATGTCAATATGCAGATCATTGCTGTGCTAAATGGATGGATCAACCCAGTATCAATTGATCCATCCACGCTTTATTCAGACTGTCCAATGAACAGCTCAAGATCATGGACAAGTATGCTATAGAAACGTGAAGTTAAAATCCATGGTTCAAGGGTTCTTAATTAGAAGTGAAATTAATAGCTTTTCTTCTATATTAAATTCAGGCTACATCGACTAATCTCTGCACTCAGCTTTAAACCTCAAAATTTACTTATGACCCAACCCAACCTCAAATTCTCTCTCTCTAATGAATTAGTTGTTAAGAAGCTTAGAAAGATTTCTCTCTCCAAGATGTCATTCAATTACTCTATGCGTGTATTGTCAGTCACATGATTTATTTCTTCTTCTAATTATTGGTTCTTAGAGTTGGAACATTTCTCTAACTTAGAAACTAAGAAATTTTGTACTTAAACTACCATTTGGCCATGATGTATACAAAATAATAGCTACTAAGATCTAAATCCAGATATACAGACATCTATCAAAGTCAAGAAATATCTATCGATGGTGAATTAAATACTGATTCTACAACACATTTCAGAGAATCTAATTTCGAATATCCGTTCATCACAAACCTCTTGCAGTATCTTCACCCATTTTTCGTATGCAACCATCATAAGGAGATGATCAGATTGTTTGTCATTGTTGTTTAAATCACTTGATTTCTCCAGTTTGTCAGACAAAAGAGCAAGTTTCACCCGGTCAACATTTTGCTTCTAAGAAAAAAGAACGGAACATAGAGTTAGTTGACAACTTTCTTATGAAAATCAGCAAAGCTCTGAGACAGTATAAATGTACCTCATCTTTTGGATATACAAACGGCGTTTTATAGCTTAAGAAAGCAGCAATCGAGAGAATAGGTGATAAGCAACCAAAAATACCACCATATAACAGCATCTGCAATTTTTCAAACATGTAGTCAAGATAGTGGAAATAATTACATGATGAGCTCTCTGCCTCTCTAGTTACCTACATCAATGATCAAGACATTGAAACATACGTAGAATTTTTCTTAAGGATGTTAAATGAGACATATGATGAGACGAGGCTAGATGTTGTGAGGAGAGAATAAATATAAACGAGAAGGCAGAGACCAAGGAAGTGCAACAGTAATGTTACTGAAGTAAACCTTTCCAATCAACACATCAACCGGAAGTTTTGCTAAATGATGCCCAAGTGGTGTCAACTCTTCGTCCCCTTCAACAGCACCGACCTAAAGATGACAGGTTTCATTTAGAATACTCAGTAAAATTTAGATGAATATAGCTGAAGGCTACAACGGAAAGAATATTAATCAACCGCACTAAAGAAACATCATTTATATGTCCAAGTGGATGCATCAAATATGAATGATCACAGGAACTAAGCGTTCTTAAGGAGAAAAGGCTTATAGCCTTATATTACATGGTACCTCGTGTAACAATGATATTGCAGAGGTTATAGCACCTTCACTCGGAGGTTCTAAAGCCTAAAGACAGCAAGTGTAAAGAAGAATCAGATAGGTGACAATGTTGTGTCTTTTGTCACTAAAAATGATATCGCTTGCCTTCGACAGAAAAGGCTTAATGTGACCCAAGCCAAGCAATTTGATTTGTAGACATAATTCTACTAATGGCATCCGCAACATCTCAGGAACCTTGTCATCAAGATGGAACTGATGAGTTTAGGGGCTATAACCAAGTGAACAAGAGACCAAGAAAGGACTTAAAAGAATAACACCTGATAGGGACGCATTAGCTTCTCGAACCTATGTCGTGTGTACAATGAAAAGCAAATTCCAGGTTTGACTCGTCCAGCTCTTCCTGTTCTTTGTCTTGCATTTGCTTGAGATATCCAATCTTCCACCATGCTTGACAGTTTCTAAGATGATAAAATAATAGAGCCCCAAATTGACATCTCGGAGATAAAATACAATGATCATGACGCAATCACAAGGAGAGATACAAGGAGCTTTTGGTTTCAGTATGGAGAACTAAAAGTTAATTTCAAGACACAAGGTAATAGACATTCCAAAATAGCGGATATCAATTTAGAAAAAGGACTTCACAAGAAAGGGGTTGTATGCGAATATCACAACAAAATGTGCATAATGTGACAATTTATTTTCAGAAAACATATGACTAAAAAAGGAAACAAACATTGAAAATCAAGAATGTTGGTCTACAAGCATCATCGTAAATGGAAAATGCAACTCATTCACAAGCAGTAGTAATACCTTCTGTGGATTATAGCGATTTTCCTTGTGTTTGCCACTATCAATCACGTACACCACGTCATCAATTGTTATACTGGTCTCTGCAATATTTGTAGCTACGATAACCTGAACATAAGAGATGATGCAAAAGATGAATCAGATTGGCTTTGCAAAAATCCATGCAAACTAAACGGTTTAGTTTATGGAAAATATCTTCAGCAAATAGGGAACACATGCATTTGTTGAAAGGGATTCAGAACTCATATGATTAACATTATACGTCAATCGGCTGAATTTGGAGTTAACTTTTAAGAAGACACTAAACCTTTTCGACTACATCTTCTCATGTTTTGTAAATGTTCCTCTCATCGAGTCATAAATGAACTAAACTGTTGTCCGTATATTATTCTTAACTTTGAGATCTATAATTCACATAGTATTCTACTGAAAACTTGCACGAAGACCAAAATAAATGTAAGCCTTTTGGCAATCTGAAGGTGGTAAGGAAAAACTTGTCCATGGAACATATCAACTTTTTAACCATAAGTGATGCTATGTTATTAACTTTTTAAACCACAACTGTTGCTATTTATTGTGCATATCTCTCAAATTCATTTACTAGTGGAAATTAAGGGAAACAAGTAGTTGCATGAGCTAGAATCTTGATTTAACGATCATCGATCATGCATTCAACACACTCAGCCTAGAGCCCTCAACAACTTACGACTGTTTTCCATTAGACAAAATGCAAAAGCAAGGCAACTTAATGATAAAGCCATCAAATTTTCCCATCTGGAAAAATGAATCGAAAGTGACTCAACTCTAGGAAACTAGGCATTCTAAACATGAATAGCAATCGTGCTTATATAGATGTTTACAGGAAATCACCTTCCGTAGGTCTTCAGGGGGGCGCAGAAACACCTTTTTCTGTTCTGTAGATGCAATAGAAGAATGTAGAGGAAGAAGCCAATCTGCAGCAGGTCCACGAAAACGATACGAAGCAGCTAACCTATCGAGTAGCATGTGAATTTCTGACACTCCCTGTTATTACCAAACAAATTTCAATCTGACGCGATAGACAAGATGATTGACTCTCAATTAACCCGAAAGACCTCAGTATCAGCTTACTGGCAAAAATACAAGAATGGCTCCTTCCTTGCAAGTATCATCAATGTGGCATATCAACTCTTCAAGGAGCTCGTAGTCTATAGCATCCTCATTTAATCTTTTCTGCACGGCATTCACTAGTTATCGAGACTCAGAATAACTAGAAGAATAAACGGAACAGAAACTCTAAATGGAGAATTGGAAATATAGCGTACCAGATTTTGTTGTGTTTGATCACTATATGAGGTGTAATTGCTGGAAACATAAAACGGGTTAAGACAGTCCTCTGAAAGCAAATAATCATCACCCCAGCCAGCCAATACAAGATTCTTCTGTCCCCTACGGTCGTTTACAGAACCAAGCTGCAGACAACAAATCCAATATTAACTACACAACATCCAAAGATTAATAAGTACAAGCTAAATGGGAGTATCCGTACGGAAGCACTAGAATCCTAATGTCAGAATCATACAACACACATCAAATCAAAAGGAATATACATATTAAGCCCAACAAAAATGGAAACATCATTTCGTATCAGGCCCCAAGAGGTAAATCCATAAACGACCTTTGTACTGGTCGTATATTTTGGCTCTGCAAATAGTTAAAGATATTAATAAGAATGAAACATTTCTCACAGTAGAAAATACTCAAATACAAAATCAGAAGAAAACTCTAAATCAAGACGCAAGTGTCTAGCAGCTGCGACGATCTATTTTTAGTCATACAAAGGAATTGCTCCACTGGTGCAGACTCCATAAAAGGTAAATGGAAAAGATGCCGGAAAAACATGAGAGGCGCTGGCCAAAGTGAAAACATGAATAATTTAGATACCTTGTCTCTAATGGATGAATCAGATCTTAGTGCAGCGGGAGAATCTGGAGCTAGAAGGTACCTAGTCCTCTCATAAATCTCCTCCAGAAAGTGAGTAGTAACTGGGTGTGTTCGTCCTTCAGCAGTAATCACAGGACAATGAGCAAAATATTTTGAGAATAGATCTGCGTCAACAGTAGCGGACCTGAATGGCATCGGAAGAATAGATTAATATGCTATTTACTACTATATATAATCTGTCTTGAAAAATAAAAGTCACAACACGTACATAAGGATAACTTTCAGTCTACGTGATGTGTTATCGCCTGATTGCTTCTCAATCAGGCTCTTCAAAATAATGAGAAGAAAATCACCCTGAAATGAATATGAGAAAATAAGTCTTCTCACCCACAAGTTGATTTTAAGAAAAGGATGAAAGGCAAACAACTGTCAGATTGTTCAACACTTGCAAAATGGGCGTATCAAAATCTGATATACAGATCTAGCATTCTTTATGGTAAGAGAAGCTTGAGATACTAATAATGCTTGTCAGCACAGAATAAACATGGAAGCAATACATATGATCCCTTTATTCTAAAGTAGTGTCAAACGAAGCCAGAAGAGAGAAAAAAGTGGTGAAAAAGGTATACACCACCAAGAATTCGCTGTTGAAAATGATAAGATGCGATGGAATTGTAGTGGAGTTTAACTTTATGTGCATATTCTAAAAGTACTGCTAAAATCCTAGTTTTCTGACCTAGCAGGTTTTGAATTCTAGTTTTTCATTAGATGATACTATATGGATTCTCAAGTAGAACCCCTAATCACGTGTCTGTTTTTCTTAACAATGATCTAATTTGTGGCTGACTTAATCAAAACTCACCAAAAGAGACCGCTCGTGCACTTCATCGACAATAATATGTGTAACATCGTCCAAGGTTTTATCCCCCTGCAAGGAGTGCACAAACGAGCAAACAGACAAAACAATAAGAAAGATTACTGATTATAATCTTAAATATTTACTGTGCCGTCTCTCATTATGCTTTACGGAATAGCATTGCAGTGTCTCAAAAACTGGAATTACAGAGTTCTTAGAAATGTCTTTGCAGCAAATACCCTCTGATACTACTAATGATGCGCCAACTACCTCAACTATTGGACTTTCAATGTTCCGCTTAGTTAATATAGACTCTGTTTATGTAATATTTTCTATACGATCATGTTTTCTAGATACCATAATATTCGTAATGCAGCTATAATGTTTAACCTTTATCCACATCACCAGAATGTTTTTTTATAAATTTTTTAATCTTTATCAGTGGCCTAAAACACTTTAACATGTAATAGGAACAGCTTATTAATAAATTAGGAACGTACAGCGAGTTTTCTCAGTAGAATGCCAGTAGTACAAAACAGCAGCCTTGTCTTGTCACTCCTGAACAAATATAAAAATATGCCAAGGGAAATTTGCTTAATCCGCCACTCCAAGAACATCATGAAAAGTGAAAACCGGAAAAATATAAGGCCATCATCATATTGTAGAGTCAGAAATGATAATATTACAAACAGCAGATGATGGTGACAAATGCAACCATACACTAGTAAGACCAAAGAAAAAAATTCTTAGAATTAAGGGGCAAACCTTGCACTCTCAAGACGAACTTGATAACCAACCAAGGAATCATCTAAGCCTGGAGAGGATTCACAACGCTCATCAGCAACTCTTTGAGCAACAGAGATAGCCTAGACCATATTACACAGTTAATAACAAAAACAAAAGATAGAAAGATATCTGCAACCTAGGCTAGCTGACATCATTAAACTTCATCGAGAATAAAGGTATCGTAGTTAATATCAGTATGAACCAAACAAGGAATCCCTGAAGCATGACATTTTAACACTGAAATACTCACAGCTATCCGCCGAGGTTGTGTGCATATGATATAACAGTATCCACCATGCCCCGAATCGATCATATCATCCAATATAAATTGAGGAACCTGAAAAATGTAGCAGTTAGAAATGACTCAACTGTAAGCTGGGAGATATATTCAGCGAAAAGAGCTACTGACGAGACCAAACCTGTGTAGTCTTTCCAGAGCCTGTTTCTCCGCATACTACTAAGACATCTTTTTCTTTCAGATACTGCAGTATGTCATTCTTCACTTCTGTTATAGGAAGAGCAGTTCGATTTTTTAACATGTCCTGCAAAATTTTAGTAGGATTACTGTGAAAGCTGTAGAAGGAAAGTCTTGACCATTCTGAAAAAAAAAGTTATATAGTTCATACTGGAATAAGCTAATCAGTCTAGAGAAGATTTAAACATACAACAATATGGCAGAAAATTAGCTACATAAACTACATTCTTGACAATATCTAGAAACAAAACCTCTGTTCAAATATTATCAAGAATCCTGTACCTTGTACTTCAGCATTTTCTTTTTGTTTTCATGTTTTTGTTGGAGGGATATACATTCAGCTTCTATGGAGGAGTTTCCTGTAACACCGAAAATAGATTACTATGTTTCCTGCTAATGATTATGGCAGTAAAATCCAGAGTTATATTATTTAAGATACTAAGCGACCACAGATACAATTCGTGACAAACATACGTTTAGCTCTGTGGTTAGATTTGACAGCGCCCTGGTCATCTTTCTCTTCGAGATAGGTGTTTACCATTGGAATTGCATCGTCGATGCTCGACGAAACGTTCAAACTGAAATTGTCCGCCTCAAGCAACCTATCAACAAAGTTAGCTCTGCGATCTTCTTCTGTGCTTTGTACGGTAGACAACAATTCTTCTGTGAAAGGTCAAGGTAACTGTATTAGAGTGATAGAGATATTGCAAAACGAGAACATATGTGCGATAACTTAGAATGGTAATATTAGGGATATGCAAAACATTTGGCAAAAGATTATGTCGTATTCCCTCCATTTTACTTCATATGCGGTAATAGTTTCACTCAATACCGATATGCTCTTTTTAACAGCCAAAAGTGTTTTGAACAATTAAGTACCAAAACTCTCATGCAAAATACAGTTGTTGTAGAGTTACCATAGAACATCAATGTAAACCTAGACAGACAGGTCATAATATACTAGGCTAATGAATCTAAAATTCTGTGGCATAGCTGATATATATATTTATATATACATATATATATATATTTTTAAAAAAATGTAAATACTAGGTACTTAGACAAAATTCATAAAGTCACCTTGTTTCCAGCTCAAAACTAGAGAGGCGTAAGGCTCCGTGATTGCAAAGTGAACAGGTAAATCAGAAAAAATCTTATGAAGGGAAAATGCTGCAACTCTGTTTTGTGCATCCTGTCACACCCAAGTGCACAGTAAATTAGTATATTGATCACATGGTCAGCATATTATTCAGGCACTGATGATTATTTCCAGTCAACACCTTACAACTTTGATAAGGTTCATAACTAAGGTTTCCAAAACTTTGAGCAACAATTGTTTGACATATAATAGTACACTAGAGAACTTTCTTTCTAGCTGTCCTACTTTATTTTACCCAGAACCTGGAAAATCAAGTAATTAAACTGGAATTTTCAAGCGAGAGTCTCTAACTACACTTAGTATCAAGGCCCTAACCATATATATTTCAGCATCTTTTTAAGAGAATATCTTATGTTAAAAGATGGATCAAACGTGTACCTCGATAGATTCAGAGTCCTCATCCTGATGAGGAAGTTGAAGAGTTACCAGACCCCCGGCTTGTCTGCTTTTACCCCGTCCACTGGCTTTACGCAGAATGCTAACAGTATATGAGAAATTCCTTCCTTCAGCGGTTATTTTATTGAACTTTGGTGCTCCCCACCCTGACCTTTGACACAATTGATGGAGAAATGCCTTTGGGGTCTTTTGCGCCTCACCCTGTAAGAAAAAAGAAAAAGCTGACAAGTTACACAGCTGACACTTGAACACACCAAGAGAAAAAAGGGAGCAGCGCAGGGGATAAAAACAAGCTTAGACGTTGTAGTTAGAGAAGGAAATACCATATCTATTAACCATAGTTAGAACTCACTTTAATGGATCAAAATGTCAGCTTATGTGACAAACGAAAAATTAACAAGCAGGAATAAGCGCAGTAGAAGCATTAAACACCTTTTAGTTGTAATAGTATTTTACTATGCTCAAAGCTAAAATGTATATATCCTAGAATCTTTTTTGATAAAGACTTGCCTTCTTCCAGATGCCCTCTAGTTTCCCAAGATTTTTCTCACTGCGTAGTTCTCTCATCATTTCATTCTTCTGCAATTCCAGGAGTTCATGGGGCGAAGCTTCAGAAGGAGGGACATCCTCTAAGAAAATACCGTCAAGCTCCAAGTCCTCTGAATTATCATCCGATGCAACTAATTCTTGTCCCATGGTACATGTGGGAAGAGCTTTAGGTTTATTTTCCTCAGATCCACAGCTCTCAACAGGATTTGCACCGAAGTCCGGCTCATCTAACGGCTCAACAGAGACAGCATTAGCACTTACTGCCTCATGAACACTATCGGGCATGGGATAGGTTAATTCCTCTTCTGTCGCATTTTCAAAAGCATGTTCACGCTGAAATTCAGATTCCAACGTTGCTTCAGATATTCCTGCAAAACAAACACATATAACTTATGACAAGCTGTACCCATTTAAATGATTGACAGATTGATTACTATAAGATTAAGCTTAACCAAGAGCAGATATCTCTTGCTTGAGCTTGCGAATGGCTAGGCCTGCTTGCTCCTGTCCTTTTTTATCACGCTTCTCCTTTGCTTTTATAGCATCTGATCTTGCCGAATAATATTCTTTGGCAACCACATCGAAAGGCCTCGGACCAGATACCTAGTATGATTTGTGAAAACAAGATATCACTATAGAGAACGACATCAAAACCAAGAATATGAGACCAATATGGTGTTGCAAAACTAATTGACTGAAGTCTGTAGATTAGCACAATCATCATAAACAAATAAAGATATATTCCATTCTACCATATGGGAAAGAAAATATATAAATTAACAGGTTGCAACCAGCAGAGCCACAAACACTACGGACAATGAATAAATTAGCTCCATAAACTTCGGCCCTGACAGATTATTAATAAGCTTAACCCATGTAATACCTATTTCGCAAAACAATAATTCGTGGTCCAAATTCAAGAGCTTCCAGATATTCATAGTTTTGTAATGTGAAATCTTTCTATCATACCAAAAATCATGAGGGAATATTTACCCTCAAGTAAGATGCATGAAAGGTAACATGCAAGATAACAGTGAAAAAAGTTTTCCACATCAATGACGGTACTGGTCTCACGAAGTACTGAACTATATTCCATTTCGTTGCCATTATGGAAAGAAGCCTTGAATAGAGCTGAATTACCTCCTTGCTGGAGCCAACACCATCTACCTCATCTTCCCAAGAATCCAATTCCTCCTGAAATTTTTAGTCAATGAGCATAATCATCTGCGAAATTATATATCGTCTTCTTTTGCGCCTTCAGATTATTTTTGTATTAAATTACTGGAAATTTTTTGAAGCATTCTATATGACCACCTCTTCCTGTCTTCTCATATACTCACGGATCCAATCAGCTTGAGATGATTGGCCAGAACTAAGAGTATCTTCATCTTGCTTGCCCTTCACTTGAACAAAAACTTCAGGTTCCTCCTGCTTGTACTGGACTAAAGAATCCGAAAACTCATTCCAATCTTCCCGTGAGGTCAAAATCACACCTACAGAACCACCTGCAACACCAATGGGTACAAGCATCAATGCCGAACAAGCAGTGCAAGTTCCCGGAGAATATTACAACCTTAACAAGTGTTTATGGGGTGGATTCTATTACATACCACCTGTAGGAAACCGGGAAGCTCCAGTAGAAAACTTCACTGGGAGCTCATGGCTCGGCAAGTTCAAGCAGAGCCAATCAAGTGCAGCCTCAAACGTCGCTCCATCCTTAAACGAAACATACACATTGTCACAGGCATCGAATGAGGTATTCCAAAGATGAAAAAATTAAAACAAAAATGAGAACAAATGCGAGATGGTGAGAGTGTTACTCTAAGAGAATAGAGTGCGAGCTCAATCTGATCATCTACGAATCCTTCGCAAGAGAGCTTCTCGTAGACATTATTGAGTTTCTTCGCCTTCTGATTTTTGGAAAGCGCGCTATGGAGAGGTGCCGGAGCAGGAGGACCGGTGCGGCCAGAGTTGAGCAAGAGCCGTCGCAAACGGTCCTCGTTCTCCGCCGAAATCTGAAGCTTAGGACCTGAAGATGGTTTCTGATGGTTCGATTTCGACGATGAAGAAGCAGCGGCTTTGTTGCTTTGCTTCTGAGGTTTCTTCTTCGGAGCCATTCTCTTCGTCTCCGATCAAAGACGGAGCCTGAGATGACGCGGAAGAATATTGAAATTTGGGTCCTGTTGAATTGCATCACACAGCACCTGGTATGAAAAGATATTATTGGATCTTATGGGCTTTTTTCTTGAAGCCCAAGTATTGTTTTTGAGGCCCAAATAGTGTTGCTCTTCTTCTACAAATAACCGTAAGGTGCAAATTATGGCACAGTAAGGTTGACCAAACAATTATTTTTATTTTGATAAAACAACTGATTAGATGATAAAATTGAATGTAAGATTATATAAGTCAAAATGTGTTGGAGATTATTTTAAAGTAGCTCATCTAGGTATGCTCGATACTACAATCTAATCTTTATCGGTTTTGTTTTTAAGTCATAGATCGTTGTTGACAATTATTACTGGTTTTTGGAGGCGTGAAGCCAATGGATGTAGCTAACCGTGGTGTACTATTATTTCAGGGCGCAACATTTGTTGGTGTTGGATTTAGCCCAAATCCAGCTCATAAAGCACTTTGAGTGAACAAGCCATTATAAGGGAAGTTTTGGACCCTATAGGCCCGTAACTAAGGCAATGAAAGCATCTCCAAGGAATATACTCAAGTACAAGTCAATCTAAGAGGACGCGGAAAGCTGGATAAAAAAAAATCGCGGAGATCTCGGAGAAAAAGAGGTCGTAGATAAGAGGAGATTGCGGAGATCTCGGAGAAGGAGAGAACGTATCAACCCGCGGATCTCGGAACAATTTGTCTCGTTCTATTTAGTATGTTTCGTTCTATTTAGTATAAATAGGAGTTGAATCTCTTGTAAAGGGCATCCAATCCTTAGCTCAAAAACACTTTGTAAACATTCATCTTTCATCAATACAATCCAAATTCGTCGATCTTTGTCTTTATTTTTACATCGCTCTTACCAGAATTCTTGCCCAAATTCTTCTACCACAAAATCAACACACTAAATCCTTGAGTGTGGATTTTAGGATCCACATTTTGGCGCCGTCTGTGGGGAAGAAACAAAGAAATTCTTACACCTGAGACCGATCTCAAAGACAAGTAAGAACGAAATGGATCCCAAAAATGTTGAAACATCTGGCTCTAAGACAAGCTCCGGCCTCGCACTAAACTTCAGCATCGCAGGACGATCTGGAGATGCCGAGATCACCGATCCACAAAGCTCGTCTGCCCATAAACAGACAAACCAGCCGAGCGTCGCAAATCCGACAACCAGCTCGACTCAAACTGTTTCTTCGAGCGCGATGCGAACTACCGGCATACCCGCTGTGTCACGCTCGGAGTCCGGAACGGCCCCAATATTCACATATTCGCGGACCTGGACAAGATTTGGAATTCCACCGATCGGATCCAGCAGTTCGAATCGAACTGAATCCGTCCGGGCCGGATCGTCTCAGACGGTAGCCAGCGACGACCTAGCGGAATTTCGAAGGATGCTAGCCTTCTTGGCAGAACAAGCCCGCGCGCAACTAGCTATTCTCACACGAAATGAGAAAGACATAGCTAACTTGCGACGAGAGCGGACACAACCAACTCAGTCTCAGGGCGAAGATCACGACGATCTATCCGAAGAGGAAGATCGAAGTCCGCCCCCGACTACTCGATTGGAGTTCGAACACCTCGCAAATGACAATCTGTCAGCACAGTTCGTCACTCCGTCGCGAACTAACAACACCCCAATATTTAGTGAGATAGTCAGTCATCTGCCGATACTCGGATCCGGAACAACGGAGCACAAAACACCTGCAGCAGACGATTGTCGAAATCAGCTATCAACACCTCTATTCTTCCGCGGATCCCAAAGTCGTAGTACGAACCGTGCTAACCCACCAACCGACAAGCGATCTAACAAAGAACGGATTGCCGACGACACTTTCCAAACCGGAAGTCCGCAACAAGGAAAAGCGCGCAATAAGAAGCGCGCGGAGGACCCTCCAAATATCATAGATCCGCGATCTATAAACAACTTCGATGCGCTCCAGCGATACATCGAAGCAAACAACACCGAGCTAAAACGTATGTACGCCGCAGTACATAAAGCAACGAGTGCAGCTCCTGATATAGATTGCGTGCTGGACGAAACTAGAAGGACCCCCTTCACCGATGGCATAGCTAACGCTAAGATCAAGGACACTGGGAAAATGCGGTTCCCAGAATATAATGGAACAGCAGATCCCTTAGCTCACCTCAGAGCTTTTAGGCTCTCTGTAGCCCGAGCTCATCTCAACGATGAGGAAAAAGAAGCAGGCTATTGCCGGCTTTTCGCCGAAAATCTAGTCGGATCCGCCCTAGAATGGTTCACCGGGCTAGAAGAAGGATCCATTGACAATTTCCAGCAGCTCGGTTCGGCCTTTCTTAAGCACTATTCGGTGTTTATAATGTCCAAGGCCACGGAAGCCGACCTATGGACCTGCAGACAGAATCACCAGGAGCCCCTGCGGTCTTACTTGGCTAGGTTCAAGGAAATAAAATCCAGGATATCCGAACTAAACGAGGGAGTAGCACTCTCCGCACTCAAACAAGGGCTATGGTTCGACTCACCTTTCAGACAGGAACTATCGGTTCGCTGTCCGGTGTCTCTAGACGACGCTTTGCATCGAGCTTCAAGCTTTGCTCGCTACGAGGAAGAACAAAACGTCCTCCGAGAACAGTTCGAAGCCGGGTTACTGACACCCAACCTCTTCACCTTTGCAGACACGGACTCCCTTATGAGATCGTGACAGACATTAGTTCTAAGTATCTGTCGGACCCTTCTGTCCGGAAAACGGAGAACTTAACAAAGAACGGCTAAGAGATCGGCAAGGTGTGATCAAAGAACAAAGAGATCGAATCCTTGTCCGAATCTAGAGTTACCAGCAGGCCGCGACCCGCTACTATAATTCTGGTGTAAAACACCTGAGCTTTAGTATTGGCAATCTCTTGCTACACAAGGTATTCAATAACACTAAAGAGTGTGGCACCAACAAGCTGTGTTCTAATTGGGAAGGTCCTTACAGGATCGTCGAAGTAGTCCGCAGTGGTGTCTACAAACTCGCGAACATCAGAACCGGAGTGCCAGAGATAAGAACGTGGAATGTTATAAATCTCAAACATTACCACCTCCGAGCACCGACAATAATCGAACTACGTTCAAGCTTGATCCCTTGACGGGGTACGTAGGCAGCTCAACACCGAATCCAGCCATTATCTTTTCTTACATACTTAGTCAAAATTATAAAATGTATGTAACATCGCGTTTGTGAATAAAAACCCTTATCCAAAACTCGCTCACTTCAAGATCTCTTAAAACGATCTTATAGCTCGAGGCCCCGAGCCCGCTAAGTAACGATTGAGCCAAACAATCTCAGCTTAGTTTGCTATCATATTGGGTAATTAATAGTCATAGTTTATAGCTCGCTAAACGATAACGAACTCTACCAAAGTAGATTAAAAAGTCGTTATCCGCAGTAAACTATCATAAATCGATCTAAACAGAACGATCATCAAGCTCGTAGCTCGCTGAGTAACTTGGCGCCTACAAAATAAAAGTTACTATCACAGTTCGCTACTCGCTACTTGACACCATAACGCGATCTCTCTAAAACGATCGTATGGTCACAACTTATAAAACTTCGGCACATTTTAAACAAAGAGCATTTATAACGCCTTGTTCGAAATCCTGATCCCATGATTAAAAATCACGCGATATAGGTCGTTCAGGTCCCATGGGGTGAAAAATTCTCCATAAAATAGTCCGCCCCTTTAGTTCGTTTCTCACTAAACGGGCTGGGGGGCAATTATTGGTGTTGGATTTAGCCCAAATCCAGCCCATAAAGCACTTTGAGTGAACAAGCCATTATAAGGAAAGTTTTGGGCCCTATAGGCCCGTAACTAAGGCAATGAAAGCATCTCCAAGGAATATACTCAAGTACAAGTCAATCTAAGAGGACGCGGAAAGCTGGATAAAAAGAGATCGCGGAGATCTCGGAGAAGAAGAGGTCGTAGATAAGAGGAGATCGCGGAGATCTCGGAGAAGGAGAGAACGTATCAACCCGCGGATCTCGGAACAGTTCGTCTCGTTATATTTAGTATGTTTCGTTCTATTTAGTATAAATAGGAGTTGAATCTCTTGTAAAGGGCATCCAATCCATAGCTCAAAAACACTTTGTAAACATTCATCTTTCATCAATACAATCCAAATTCGTCGATCTTTGTCTTTATTTTTACATCGCTCTTACCAGAATTCTTGCCCAAATTCTTCTACCACAAAATCAACACACTAAATCCTTGAGTGTGGATTTTAGGATCCACAACATTGGAGAGAAGGACTATTCTTTCTTTCTGAAAGCCTTGGTTATGATCAGGGTAAGCTCTCGCTCTCACTTCCACTGCTTGTGTTGCATTCAAAGAGAGAGATGGAAGAAAAGACAAATTTTTGGCATAAGCGTGGTCTCTTAGTCAAACTTATACTATTTGACAAATTTTTGACAAATTTTTGGCAGATAGGAGTTTTCGAAGAAGTTCTCAAAGCAATACAAGCAACGTATTAGAACTCATCCACTCGTCATGTGCGGTTCAATGCAAACCAAATCAATAAATGGAAGTAAGCGCTTTCTCACATTTATTGATGATTATTTAAGGATGACATGGGTGTATTTTATGAAGAGCGAAAGTGAAGTGCTCTCAAAATTCAAGATATTCAAGCTTTATGTGAAAAATCAATTGGAAACTTGGATTAAGAGGCTTAGAACAGATGGGGTGGTGAGTTCTTATCATAATAATTCATCAAGCTATGTCAAAAGAGTGGCATAAATCATGAAGTAACAACACCATACACTCCACAACAGAACAGTGTTGCAGAGAGACGAAAAAATACACTTGTGGAAATGGCTAGATTGATGATATATTCATAAAATGACTCATTTAGTATGCATTTTTAGTCCCAATTCATAGTCCCATGTATGCATTTTACATAAAATTTTAGGTACGTAGGCATTATTGTAGCATTTAGGAGTTTTCATGAAATCTTAGTGAGTCTTGCATGCTTGGAGTGTCAAATAGGTA